TCATTCCAAATCTGTACGACTTTCTATCTTTACAAAATGTCCAATGTCTGCTGTTTAACGTGTTATAAAAGTGGATAGGAACCATGGACCGCCAAGGTCACCATTCCCTTTCATTGTGTGAAATAAAAGTGAATATTATGTTCCATTCTAGAAAGAAAGTTATACAGGGTTGGAAAGACATGAGAGAACATAAACCATGATGGAATTTTAGGTGTACTATCTCTTTAAGATTCTATCTCAGATCTGTCTGGGCAGCTACTTGCCATTTATATTTACAGTCTTGCATCTTTTATTTTCATATTACCCTTGGCACAACATTGCAGGGCTTTTAATAATTTCTGAGATTTGCAGCACAGTTTCTTTGTTTGTGAAGTGTACTTTCTTATCTCTGTTGTCAGACTCTACTGTCTGAAGATCTATGGTCTCTCCTCCCTGTGGCGGCTCTTCAGGGGAAAGAAATGGAATGTATTGAGGCAGAGGGTTGACTCGTGCTCATACGACCTGGACCAGGTACATGTCTTGCACAACCACTAGCTATTCAGCACATCCCTACAGAACACAGCTGACACTACTCTGTTTCCTTTGCAGTTGTTCATTGGCACTTTGCTCTTTACGATTCTGCTGTTCCTGCTTCCCACCACTGCCTTGTATTACCTGGTCTTTACCCTGGTGAGTCACTCTGACATGAGATTTAACCTCACCCTTATTCCAACAGCCCCATTGAACCGTTTGATGCAATTATTTTCACACAATTGTTACATCAGTCCAGAAGTCAGCTGCATTGATTTGCCACTATATTATGATTGTTTTTATTTATTTATTTATTTTTGGGGGTGCATTATGAATGTGGTCATTATGAATATTATAAGGTAATTATCACATTTTAGCTCTTGACTCTTGATGGGGTTTTTTGCTTGCAATGGCCTATACACTACTGTTCAAAAGTTTGGGGTCTGTATTTTTTTTATGGTTTTGAAAGTCTTTTATACTCACCAACACTGCATTTATTGGATCACAAATGCAGTAAAAACAGGAATATTGCAAAATATTATTACTATTTAAAATAGTTATTTTAAATACAAAATATTATTACAATTTTACAGTTTTCTATTGCAATATATTTTAAAATGTAATTTATTCCTGTGATGCAAAGCTGAATTTTCAGCATCATTACTCCAGTCTTCAGTGTCACATGATCCTTCAGAAATCATTTGCTGTTCAAGAAACATTTCTTATTATCAATGTTGAAAAGAGTTGTGGTGCTTAATACTTTTGTGGAAAACATAATATGGTTTTTGTAATGATTCATAAATAGTAAATCATAAATATAGAATTTCTATATTAATAACAAGTAATTGGTTTCTCTGTTTCTAGCTGCGGCTGGTGGTGGTGCTGTTTCAGGGCGTGATTCACCTTAGTGTCGACTTCATCAACTCTTTCCCCCTATTTGCCATCGGCCTACGTATCTGCAGACCATACAGACTGGCAGGTGAGCCATACTGTAACACACTGAAGAAATCAATGAAAAAAGGTCTTACATTTTGTAACTGACATAACACTTGATGATAGAGATGAAACTATGAATGTACTTCTAGGCCATGTAGTGCAGTCATATACTGACCTTCAGTGAAAACCGCTTGCTTAATTATGTGTTTATATAACTGACTGGTTAATTAAACACTTTATGAATCTTTTTGTATTCCAGAGGGTGTTAAATTCAAGGTGCTTTGCCAGGAGCCAGGAACTCCTCTTCACCTGATGATGGAGGTAGGTTGATTGTTGCTAAAACAGCTTGTCATCCTGTAGTTTATTTTTGCTTGGGTTTCATTTGTGGTTTGGGTTTGCCCTGCTGATTTTGTGGGATGGATATGAGGGCTATTGAATAGCTTTGTTTGGCTCACTGTGTGCAGTGCAAACACTGGACATCCTTTACTTGTCTCTAAAGTTTGATAATGAATCATATAGCAGATGAGCAAGCATGAATGAAAAATGTATTTTCTTTTCTCCACCTTCAGATCAACCCATTGAAGTGCAGCTCTGTACTGCAATGTTACCGGACGCCCACGTATAGCTGTTACCCTAAGGATTCCTGGGCCGCATTGTGCAAGAAGCTGTTTGTCGGAGAACTCATTTACCCCTGGAAGCAGAAAACTGACAAGACGGACTAATTTTGGGACCTGGTAGACCAACAGCAGCCAGACACATGAACACTGGGAGAAGGTTCTCTATTGGTCAGACTCCACTAAATTTCATGATAGTCTTAATTAGGTTTTTAACAGAAGTAGATATCCCTACATTGTAGATTTAAACCACAATCTTTCCTTATACAAACATTGATCAGAATCTTTGATTGAAACTGTGATTATTATTTTTTTTGTTTTTGTATTTATTTTAAAACATCTACAACTTTTTATAACACTGAAAATTTAAAAATTGATTAATTATATTGTATTCTAATCTAGCTGACTAATGTGTACTGGCTCTGAATGTTGAATTTAATACAGATTTGTGTAAATTATTTGACCATGAACCACTTGTTATGTCAGTGTTGCCAAATTGTTGTTTTGTAGCTATTATTATTAATATAAGTGATTTAATCAAATCAAGATTTTTATAAATGCAGATGATCATGATCAAACTATGCATTTGTGCTGTTGATTTTCAAACTCTAAATTTACATCAATAAAGTTCATTTAATACCATTTTATATATTACAGTATCTTTGTGCATCTTAGATCATACTTGTATGATTTATGTTTGGACTATAAACAGTTGCTATTTAAAGTTTACCCATTTTCAGAAACGTGCTAATATAACTAGTCTTGGATCTTTTGTTTGGGAGAGCAGCCTGAAAAGAATGTGCTCAGACTGGACTGAGAGCACAACACAGCTATGACAGCCGTGGCTTCTGATTATTCAATGACACATGAAAAACATCTGAGCTAATTCACCTTCATGGTTTTGTTAAGGGCAAAACAGTTGTGTATTTCCGACACAAAGATGGGTAGTTGAAAGTTGAAATATATATGTTATCCCTGGTATAACTATAACTCCAACTCTCTCTCTTTCTCTATTATTTTTTTTGTTTGTTTGTTTACAAGAAATAAAACTTTTCTTTAGCAAGGGCTGCATTAAATTGATCAAAAAGGGACAGTGAAGAAGACTTCTATAGTGTTACCAAACATTTCTACTTAAAGTAAATGCTGTTCTTTTATTAAAGGGGTCATATGATGCGATAATGTGTTTTTTTAACCTTAAACCACATAAACACATTTCATTACACCAAATACACCAAATACTGTTCTTTTTAGCAGCATCATATGACCCCTTTAATCAAAGAATCCTGAAAAACAAATGCATCACTGTTTTCACATAGATATTCGGCAGCACAACCGTTTTCAACATTAAAAATAAAATGAAATGTTTCTTGAGCAGCAAATCAGCATATTAGAATGATTTCTGAAGGATCATGTGACACTGAAGACTGGAGTAATGATGCTAAGTTTGCAATATTATAGATTCTACTGTACTTTAGTGCTTTTACTGACACTTCTTCCGAAAACATTAAAAAATCTCACTGACCCCAAACTTACTGAGCTGTTGTCTAATATATAAATTATTATTAGTAGGTCTGTGTTTTATAGTGTATAGTCATAGTTTATAGTAAATTTTTCGATGCTTTCTATATATGACCATAAAAAGGAAATGGACAGAATACTGTCACATATCTCATCCTAGGAGAACAAGCGCTATTATGTATATGCTGGGGGTGAGCGTTTATGTTTTTTAATGGCTGGTGTAGAACTTGATGCAGGGTCCAGATGTCCCTTTGTCTCCCTTGAGACCCTCATGTAGCTGTAATCTCGATAGGCAGACACAAAGACTTCATACAGCAATTTGCATTTTAATCTATTCAGGGGGAGGGGGATTATTTTCTTTTGATTCCAGAAAGTGCAGAGACCTCTGGCTTGTCCCCAGCACATCTGCCACAAGACCAGTAACCTGTATTATAAGTGCTGGAAACATAAGGTGAAAACAATACATTTAGATTTTTTTAAAGTTAGATTTAAAGGGATAGTTCACCCAAAAATCACTATTTACTCGCCTTATATATGTATGCAGAATATAGGAACTGACAGCCTCAGTCATTCACTTTCACAGCATGACAATTTTTCCGTACAGTGAAAGTGAAGGGTAACTGAGGTTGTCGTTCAACCTAGCATCTCCTTTTGTGTTACACGGAAGACAGAAAGTCATACAGGTTTGGAACAACATGATGAGTGTTTCTAATACAAAATATTTAACAACAGACCGACAAAAATAAATAGAATTAGTACCAACTGTCCCTCAGTTTAAACGGTTACATAATTAAAAATAAAAGATTGTTGGACATATACATCACCTGTCTCTATATACACCCTGAGACCAAATGAATCTAGACAGCCAGTAGCAGGTGGGTTGTGTTGTGTGTACTGTATGAATGGCTGCGTCTCAAAACCTAGCATGCTGCCTACCTAGGCAACATTGTTAGGCACATTCAAAGGCATTAAACATTTATACAAAACACACCTAAAGATTTTTTTCCCCCGTAATGCTCATTAATGTCTTGATAAATGTTTATATTATTTATTTATTTATTATTTAAAATATTATCTATCTTTACGATCTATTTAAACTGTTTGTCCTTATTAGGGTTGTGGGTATTTATTAATTAATTAATTTATTTATTTATTTATTTTATTAGTTTATGTTAATTTTGTTAAAACATTTTAATTACACCTTATATTAAATAATGTATTAACATTTTCACTTTATTTATTTCAAAATATTTAAATATTTATAGTAAATATTTTATTTTATTAACATTGTCACCTATTTATTTATTTATTTATTATAATTTAAGTATATTAGTTTATATTACATTTATATAA